GGCACATAACAACAATGTAGATCATTCGTAAAAGTGAAGTGGCATAAAGTGAACTTTTTAAAAGTGGGGGATACTTGTATATATCGTTGGCTCTGTGCCTTACATACAGTGAGTTCTTGGCCCAAAGCAGCCCAGGTTAGCACACGTGGTCTGTCTGATACCAGGCGTGGCTGATGGAAGGGGAAACAAACGCTCATGCCCACCCCACAGAGCCCCATGGCCTTACCTGCCAGCATCCTGTGAGATGGTCACTGAGACGTCCAGGCCCAGTGTGGTGACTTTCTTGCACACTGCATCCATGTCGATGATGGAGTCAATGCTTTCAGGTCCATCCTCCACACAGCACTGGGAGCCAGGGCAGAAGTGGCAGTTGTCCAGCCCCTTGTAGCCCTTGTTGTGCCCACACTTCTCCAGTGTGACTGTGGTTGCCATGCCTGACACCCCCACGTGTACCACCAGCTGCAGACAGAGGGGCAGAACTTAACACAGTTGCCTTGCATAGAGTGACCCTGGGCCAAGGAGAGGGTGGCATCTTCACTGGGCTCTGCTTGGAGGTACACTGTTTCAGACCTCTTGCTACTAGAATAGACCCTGCAGTTGCTCTTATTCCTTAGAAGTGAGAATGGCCAGAGCACTCTGGCTGTTCTTCTTCTAGGGCAGGTTTGTTCATTCTTCTGGCAGCCCACGGTACGTTCAGTGTTCTTCGCCAACACCACAATTCACAGGCATCAACTCTCCTTTGGTGTCCCTTATTCACTGTCCGCCTTTCTCACGCATATGAGGTGTTTGAAACTACCATGGCTTGGGTCAGGTCCACCTCAATCTTCAAAGCGACATCTTGGCTCTTTAACACTTTAAAGAGGTACCTTTTGCAGCAGATTTGCCCAGTGCAATATGTCATCTGATTTCCTGACTGCTGCTTCCATGGGCAGTTGTGGTAGTTAAGGCTGTGTGTCAACTTGGCTGGACCTCGTTTTGAGTGGCTGGGCAGCTGGATGTAGTTATTCCCCATGATGAGACTGGTCATCAACTCCATGGTGGAATCTACTGCCAGCAGCTGAGTAGCCTTAGGGGTGTATTCTGCTTCCAGTCTATAAGGAGAAGCATCGAGAAAGGTCTCTGAGCTTTTGGCACATCTGGATCCTGCATTTGGCCGAGTCTTCATCTCAGTGGCCTGCCATGTGGCTTGATAATCTTGGGACTGCACCATTTTACTTGTTGACCTTGTGTTTGTCAGCCTCACAGCCAGCAGCTGCTTGAGTTAAAAGACACTTCCAGTTTCAGTGGGCCCAAGGTCAAGGGGCCTTCACCCAACCCCTAGAGCCTGGCACTTTGAACTCGGACTTCTAGCCGCCTAAACTGTAAGAGAATAAATCCCTGTGTGTGAAAGGATCCACTTGTGGTGTTTTCTGTTAAGAGTAGCGCTGGAGAACCAAAACAGATGTTGACTATGGATCCAAGGAAAGTGAAATCCCTGACAACTTCAATCTTTTCTCCATTTGTCATGATGTTGTGGTCCAGTTGTGAGGATTTCTGGTTTCTTTATGTTGAAGTGTAATCCATACTGAAGGCTGTGGTCTTTGATCTTCATCAGTAAGTGCTTCAAGTCTTCTCCACTTTCAGCAAACAAGGTGGTGTCGTCTGCATATTGCAGGTTGTTAATGAGTCTTCCTCCAATGCTGATGCCACGTCCTTTTTCATATAGACGAGTGTCTCAGATTATGTGCCCAACACACAGATTGAATAAGTGTGGTGAAAGGGTACAGCCCTGATGTACACTCTCCCCTTGTTCTGTTTGAATGATTGCCTCCTGGTCTCTGTACAGACTCCTCATGAGAACAAGTAAGTGTTCTGGAATTTCCATTCTTCACAATGTTATTTGTAATTTGTTATGATCCACATAGCCAAATGCCTTTGCCTGGTCTGTCTTAGTCTAGAAGCTCTGCTGAGACCTGACCATCATGGGTGACCGTGCTGGTACCTGATATACCAGTGGCATAACCTGCAGCATCACAGCAACATGCAAGCCACCACAGTCCAACAAACCGACAGACAAGTGGTGGTCCATGGAATTAGCAGCCAAGAAATCAAAGGACTACTGCACTGGGCAAACCTGCTGCAAAAACCTCTTTAAAGTGTTAAAAGCAAAGATGTCATTTTGAGGACTAAGGTATATCTGACCCAAGCCATGGTATTTTCATTAGCCTCAAACGCATGCAAAAGCTGGACAATGAAGAAGGAAGACTGTCTTGGTTCTCTGGTGCTGCTCTAACAGAAATACCACAGGTGGATGGCTGTAACAAACAGAAACTTATTCTCTTACACTTTAGGAGGCAAGGAGTCTGAATTCAGGGTGATGGCTCTTGGGGCTGGGTAAAGGCCCCTCAGCCTTGGGCTTCAGCTCTGCCTCTTGTTCAGCTAGAGGTTTCTGACTCATGCAGCTGCTGGCTGCTGAGGTTGATGAACCCTAGATCAACAGGTATAATGGCGTGGTCCCAAGAATGGCAGGCAACATGGCAGTCCACTCGTTCAAGTCCTGGGACTGGAGTTGGAAAACTTGGCCAAATGCAGGATTCAAACATGCCAAGATGCTAGAGACCTTCCTCAAAGCTTCTTATATACAGGGACTAGGCCACACCCCAAAGACAACTAGTTAGCTACTCGCAGTAGATTCCACCACAGAGGTGATCACAGCTTCATCGTGGGGAATAACTACATCCAGCTGCTGAGTGTTCAAAACCACGGTCAACCAAGCTGACGCTCAACCTTAACTCCACACAGACCAGAGAAGAACTGATGCCTCTGCATTATGATGCCAGGGAAGACCACCGACTAATACCATAGACAGCCAGAAGAGCGAACAAATCCGTCTTAAACGAAGGACAGCCGGAACACTCCGTAGAAGTGAGGACGGCACTCTGTCTCACATGCTTTGGTCATGCTAACAGAAGGGCCCAGTGCCCAGAGAAGGACATCATGCTCAGTAAAGTAGAGGGGTCAGTGAAAAAGAGGAAGACCCTCAATGAGACGGACTGACACAGTGGTTGCAACCATGGGCTTAAACACAGCACTGATTTTGAGGATGGCACAGCACCGGGCACCATTTCGTTCTGTTGGACTTAGGGTCATTGTGAATTGGAACTGACCTGACAGAACCTACCACCACCGCCACCATGCCAACAGCAAGGCAGGATAAGGGGGTGGGGAGATGAGTGACTTTCTTAGAGAGCATGGTCAGAGATGCCCTCCCTGAGGGGTAACTAACAGAAAATTGCACCAAGGGCTGGCCACTCACCTGTGGACTGTGCTTCTCCCACAGGGCAGGGATGAGCCTCTGTACTGTCTTGTACTCAACGGGAATCTCATATACATGGAGGTCCACACTGTCCCCGAGGCCCAGTTTCTCCAGCTCCTGGAAGGGAGAGCAGAGGGAGCGTCGTGGCACTGGGTCAGGCTGGGGGGATAACACACTTCCTGAAGACAAACCAGCCCATCCCAGAACCCAGTGGGCTCCTCTATCTGCACAGTCAGCACCCACTTGCCTCTAACTAGGCCAAGATTGTGGCCTCCCTGGGCTTAAACCTGGCTCTGCTAACTGACTGGCTGTGTGAACTTGGACAAGTCTCTCAATCTTGCTGAGCCTCCGTTTCTTTGTTTGTAAATGGGGAGAGAAAAATACCTCAGAGGGCTGTTCTAAGAATTAAATGGCTAATTCACACT